ATATTACAGTAACTGCAGATGGAACCAGTTCTGGTCTTTGACAAATCTAAACAGGGCCAGGTCTTTACTTGCTGCAGAAGTGCTCTCCGCGGGGAAGAGCCCCATGCTCACAGTGGAGATGATATAATGCCTCACACTTCATCTTTGATGTTTGACACTGACAGCGTTTAAGCTTCACCTCTCACCCTTCACCCTTGCCCTCCTGCCTCGCATCTGTAGGACGTGGGCGGTAGGCAGGTCCTACAAAGAGTTGTCAGCCAGAAAGCAGCGGCGTTAGGATTTGAGCCAGGTCTGTTTGAATCCCAGCCTCATGCTCTTTTCATACTAATTCCTCCTTGGTGCCTGGAGATCCCTGAGAACGTCCCAGCTTCTAGATACAGTGGCTTCGTGGCAGGGTGAGCAGGGGTCCATGCGGCTCAGTTCACGTTTTCAGAGAACTGGTCTCTGGGGAGCCATTGCTGTTGACACCCAGGGCTCTCATTTTCCCATACGCTTCGCTTTTCATTACTTGGAATACGCGGAATGTTGCTGAGTTCATTATAACCACTTGTTTCCTTCCTTTGGCTATTAGCTCTTCCCTGCAAGACAGGCCTTCGTTTTTGTTGTTGTTGTTAGATTACTAAATTACAAAACAAAAGTGGCAATGAACACCAGCTCTTTTTCTTTTGTTTGCCTGCTGCTCAGCTGCACGTGGAGCAACCCTTTCATTGCCCAGGCTTCGAGGGAGGTGAAGGAGGGAGGGGCAGAGGCTTTGGGCCAGAAGTCAGCAGTGCCTCGGGAATAGACCATAGACTGTTTGAGCTGAGGGAAACCCCTGCCTGAGTGTCCCTTCTAGAAAGGGACTCCTACCACTGTCCCCTCCTCCCACAGGCAGCCCGAGAGCCTAGGAGGCATGTTGTCTGGGTAACTCAAAAGACCCACACGGGGGACTTCTTTTGCTTCCAAGTTTTGCCTACACTATGATGCAGTTTCTTGTTAAACTGTAAAAAAGAAACATATACTCCAAAGGCAACTATTTGAATTTTTTTCTTTCCATCTTTACGTTAGAATCCAGAACATCCCAACAAGGATTACATAATTAACTTTGAGATTCGGTCCCTGCGAGATAGCCGAGCATTGATTGAGAAGGTGGGAATTGAAGATGCGTCTCAGTTCATAGAGGACAATCCTCACCCCCGACTTTGGTAGGTAGAAGTAGAACCCTCCCCAAGTGGCTGGTGGGTGTTTTCTTTTAAATTTTTAAATTTTTTAAATTGATTTTCGAGAGGAAGGGAGAGGAGAGAGAGATAGAAACATCAATGATGAGAGAGAATCATTGGTTGGCTGCCCCCTGCACGCCCCCTAATCGGGATTGAGCCCACAGCCCAGGCATGTGCCCTTGACTGGAATCTAACCTGGGACCCGTCAGTCCCCAGGCCAACGTTCTATCCACTGAGCCGAACCGGCTAGGACTGGTGGGTGCTTTTAAACCCTCAGCTCTGGCCCCCCCTCCTGCCAGCCTCCATCGGGATGGCCTTCCCGCTCTCGTTCTTCTTTTTAAGATAAATTCATTTTAGATTTGAAAGACCTGAGAATAGGCATCATATTAAATGAAGTGGGCATAAAGATGTGTGAGAACAATCGCCTCCCACCATGCTTCACTGGAAACCATAGATACGATCACTGAGTTCTGGTGCAAGACTCGTTTATCAGGAATTTGCATAGACTTTTCGGATTCTTTTTTTCTGAAGGCGCCTGCTGGCTGAAGCGGCTCTCCAGAAGCTGGATTTGCACACGGCAGAGCAAGCGTTTGTGCACTGCAAAGACTACCAGGGCATCAAGTTTGTGAAGCGCCTGGGCCACCTGCAGAGCGAGTCCATGAAGCAGGCGGAAGTGGCTGCCTACTTCAGCAGGTTCGAGGAGGCTGAGAAGATGTATCTTGACATGGACAGAAGGTCAGTGCTCAGGGTGCCGGCATCCGGGGCACTGCCAGAGGAAGGAGGACTGTAAAACAGACTAACGGCACCCAACCGTTTCTTTTAGAAAATCATTTCAGTTTGGAGTACAACCTAGATATTCCCCATGCCCCTCACTAATTTATGGCTTGTAATTTGGGGCCGTTTTCTTAGTTTTCACACATATGAATAGCTGGCCCCGGTAGATTTTTTCGCTGGGTAGGAAAAATAATCATGTGAGCACAGTGACTGGGGGTTTTATCATTTATTACACACTTCATTATTTGGGTTTATGCCATTATTTAATTTACTGTTGTCAAGGAGCATGAAATAAAATTCAAACGTATTTAGGGATTGAGTTTTACTCTTTATATTTTACTTTAGATTTATATAAAATAATGTATGAACTTCATTTCAGATCTAAACATTGTCTAATTTTTATTCATATTATTTGTACTTGTGAGAGGCCCTTAATATGACTCAAGCCCTGAAAAGAAAGATAAAGCCAAACGTGTTTTTGTATGTTTGGTTTTTAAATAAACCTGATCATGTCTAAGAAATTGATGAAAAGGAGTGATTATTATTGAAGTCATTATTTTGCTGAGGGAATTGGAAGTCCAGGAAAATAAAAGGAGGCAAATTGTTTCCTTTTCCCTATTCCAGGTTCTCCCCATTGCTTCTTACCTGGTCAGTTAAGTTTCTAAAATGTTTGGAGAATTGCCATGTCTGTCTGTTCATTGCTGTGTATCCTCAGTACCCTAGAATTGGACCTGCACAAAGTAGGCGCTTGAGAAATATTTGTCAAATGAATGAATTAGTAACTGAATGAATGCCTCTGTTGGCAGAGATCTTGCTATTGGCCTCCGGCTGAAGTTGGGAGATTGGTTTAGAGTACTCCAGCTCCTGAAAACTGGGTCTGGTGACGCGGACGACAGCCTCCTTGAGCAAGCCCACAATGCCATCGGAGACTACTTTGCTGACCGACAGAAGTGGTAAGGCACCTGTCTGGACCCACTCGGCCAATCACAGCCTGTGGAACGTAGCTGCCGGCATTCTTACCTAGGAAATGAGGAGCACCCTCCCGGGTCCTCCACTTCAAGTAGCTCTAGGTTCATGTTGGGCATGAGATGCGCCCAGTTGTTAGATAAGCTCTGGAGTTTCCAGACTCAAAAACCTTGAGCTCAACTCCCGGCAGCTCTTCCTGTTTGAGACCACAGTGTGCAATTCTAAGCCATTCTACGATTCATTTCTGAAAAAGTGAAAACAGCATTTTATGTTGGCTTATTTTGTTATTGTAGGTTACTTTCAGCAATCATTGGCTTTTCTTCTTCAGTTTTCATTTTGAGCAGTATGCTTTTCTATTGATGTCAGTGTCTGGAAGCACCACTGTGTATCAGATTAAAACAGTATTAAGACTGTTCAAAGAATGTTGTAACTAAAGCATGCGTCACAGTTTTAGATTCCACCCCCGCCCCCCAATTTCTATGCTTCAAAGACATTTTGTAACTGAAGATGTTGACTAGAATAATCCTAGTAACTCTAATGAAGGAACATTTTTTGGTGAAAGTGCTTTTTATCAGGAGGTTCACATTAGCTTTAAAAGTTTTCCTTTTTTCTCCCATAGGTTGAATGCTGTGCAATATTACGTACAAGGCCAACACCAGGAGCGCTTAGCCGAGTGTTATTACATGTTAGAAGATTGTGAGGGGTTGGAGAATCTTGCCAATTCACTTCCAGAAAACCATAAGTTGCTTCCAGTGGGTATTGTAAATTGAAGTTTTTGAAGTTGTTAGTTTACTTTATAAGGTTTTTATGTTATAGTCCGGACATATCCTCTATGGGAAGGAAAATTTTAATCTATAATCTTAGTTTCTTAGATGTAGAACAATGCTTTTGATTGCTAAAACATTACATCAATATTACAGAATACTTAAAAATGGAGGAAAACCTAGTAACATTCTTTGATTATTGGGTAAACATCTCAGTTTCGTTTAACGTGATCACAGTTCTGCGTAGTTTTACCCATTTTATAAAATTGCTTATAAAACTTAGCTGAACCAGGACAGATTTACAGATGAAATGATATGTGGTCAGATATTTGCTTTGAATAGTCCAGGCCATGTCTGGTGCTTAGTATGTGTATGTTTGAAATTTGCTGCAACAAGAGTTAAAAAAGAGAGCTTGACTTTTTAAAATTTCAACAATAAAATATTTAGTGTTAAAAAAGAGAAACTACAAGTTTTCTGGAGCTTTGTCCTTTTGAAGCAGCTTTACTTGTCGGATGATGGTAATGAGTTTGTATTTGACTTGCTTTATCCAAAATGTAAACCACTGAGCGGTGTAACACCCACAGAGTTAGCAGCTCCCAACTGCAGGGTCTGCACCCCAACCAGCTGTGAGCTCTGCCACAAAAATGTTGTCTCTTAACTAACAGGTGAGCATAGAGTTCTGAGAAGCCCGTTTTCTGTGTTGTGAATTAGAGCAGTTATCCCGGTGGCAGTGGCATTTCACACCCTTCCTTGTCGTCCTGTGTGTTTTCTGGAAGGGAAAGAAATGGAAATTACCTGTGACCGGGGGTAACAACAGCGTAGCCCACGTGGCTGTTGTCTGTTCATGTGTCTAATGACGCAGAAAAAAGTCTTGCTGTGGAGTATCCAGAATAGTAATGTTACTAAGTCAATACTAAGTAATTATAGCTATAGTAACACTTAAACAACTAAAATAATTAAGAACTTAAAATAGTACTACACATTTCAAATCAAGTTTTGAAGCAGTTTTTAGTAATATGGTAAATTGTACATAATATTTAAGTGGGAAAGGCAGGATACAAAGCCTTATACTAGTTCAGGGTTTGGCAAAGTAGGTTTACAGTTGTCTGTATGGAAAATAATACAAATTAATAATGTTTAGTAATTACTAATCTATAATAATAAAAGTGTAATATGCTAATTAGACCGGACGACCTTCCGGACAAAGCCGGAGTTTTGAGGGGAGCCGGGGTCCTGGGTGCCAGAGGGAAGCCAGTGCTGGCAGCTGGGGGAAGGAAGGCCTACTCTTGCACGAATTTCGTGCATTGGGCCTCTAGTTACTAAATAATGACACAAGAATAAACTCTGTGTTTCACATACTCACAACTGTAGACCTACTATTGCCCCACCCTGTATGGTATGATTACAATACATGCACCACCTCATATACACACATGTATTCAGAGGACAAAGATGTTAGGAATTTCCATCAGACTGTTGAGAACGGTCTCCTGTGGTTAATAGATTATGAGTGACCACATTTTTGTGTTTTAAAATTTTTTAACCATAAGAATGTATTAGTTTATAATCAGAAAATATAAGCATTACTTTTTAAAAGATAGTTGGTACAAAATATACTTTTATATTTCTCAAAATATTTTAAAAGTAGGAGTGGGGAGAGAACAACTCTGGCCAAATAGATTCAGAAAGAAAAGAAAATATTCTGGAAATGGGTGTGATGTTTTTGTGTGGTTTCTCTCCTGCCACTGCCCTCCGAGGGAGCTGTTTCGGGTCCAGTGTCCTGACCTGATGAATGGCCAGCCTGTTGGGGCATTCTTTATAGGGATATTGGGGACTCTGTGAATGAGAGTTCCCGTAAGCCTCAAATTAACAGTTACCTTTGATGACACCATATGCCTAAAGGCGTTGCTTACCACGAGTGTGGCGTTTGCTTTAGAGGTTGGTGTGTCTGTAAACTAGCTTCTAACCTGAGGAAGAAAAGAGTCACTGTCTTCAGGTCCTGGTTAAAACTCAGATCCCGGTGGGAGCCGGGGAGCACGGGTTTATAGAGGGTGATGGTTAGCATCCGTGCTGGTTGGTGGCCTCTGTCCCTCTGTCTGTTTAAATGCAAAATTACTGTAACCACCAGTCCATTTAATACGCACATGTTCCCAGGGAGTCTTGTAAGTTCAAGTAGAAGTGATTTCCTTGGTCTGTGACATCTGATAGTATTGTTTGTCCTTACAGGAAATAGCACAAATGTTTGTGAGAGTTGGAATGTGTGAGCAAGCAGTGACTGCGTTTTTGAAATGTAATCAACCAAAGGCAGCAGTAGATACCTGTGTGCATCTCAACCAAGTAAGGAACTGGAAGTTAAGTGACCGTGGTCGTCCTTTAGAAACTGTGGCCAACATAAGGGTTGGAGAGCTTGGGATGAAAGTAGTGACAGGAGACAGGACGTCTCTGACTTAGTTGGGGACTGAGAAAAGGCTGGCCTTCCCTCACCTCTTCAAGCGCCACCATTAAGGCTGAGGCAATCAAAACTAGCTCAGTATGGGAACAGGAAGTAAACCTGCGCTTTAGTCTGGCAGGTTTTTATCTGGAAGCAATTTCATAATTTTCTGCATTTTATTAGGATTGGGTTTTGTTTCCATAGAAGGACCAGGTAATGATTATTGCAAGAGGAAAGGATTGAGTTACTTTCTTAATATTTCTTTGGCAAATCTATATTCTTTTGCCTTTAAAGAAAATGTATACTTGATACTTTAAAGAGCTGGAACTTAACTAAAATTGAAGTACAGAATTGTTGTTGACATTGTTCACTGTCGCTGCATTCTTTTAAGTATTTTCCCAAAGTATTTTATTAAGCTTCATTTGCTTTATAAAAAATATCTTTCAAATGCTATAGCTGATAGGATATTTTCTTAACTGAAATTGTGTATTTTGATTTCTATACACATCTTTTTCTCTCTCATAGTTTGAGCAGAGTTAGAATTTTAAGATTAATGTGATTATCCACTTTGAAGCTTTCCTTTTCGGATGTACTTCTTAAGCAAAGCAAAGTCTTAGATCATGTCATCATTTTGATGCATGTTTTACTTGTAAAACTTATAATTGCTTTTAAGTGATTTAAAAACATATACCATTTTAATTTTATTTTTAATACAGCATTATTATTATAAACTTAAAGACTTATTGTGTGAAGTCTGTGATATGTGACTATAAGTGCTTAGGTAACTGAACGGTATATTTTTTTCTCCTAGTGGAACAAAGCTGTTGAATTGGCTAAAAATCATAATATGAAAGAAATTGGATCTCTGTTAGCGAGGTATGCAGCTCACTTACTGGAAAAGAATAAAACTCTTGAAGCCATAGAACTCTATCGGAAAGCCAATTACTTTTATGATGCTGCTAAATTGATGTTTAAGGTATGTAATATTGTTGGTATTTGGTTTGTTCTAGTTACCAGTGTTTTCTTAGATGTTAAAGAACACATTTTCGAATTTGTTTGGAAACAAATATTTGTTGTAGCAAAATACCTCTGGTTTTACCACTACTATAACAATGTGTTATCTTATTATTATTATCTTTATTTATTAATATTAGCATCTTATTGCTACCTAAACAATTATGTGTTTATTTAATACTGACATTAAAGAATTATAGGATTTTTAGGGACCACAAAGTACAATTTCCCTTAACTGGGAATTAAGTCCTGTTGACAATAGAATTTTTGGTCCCTTAAAATGCACACGTCTGCAAGACATTACACTTTTCATAATATACATTTGGCAGGAAGGTGACTAGTACAGTATGACTGTATGCACATTTTACATTCTATTCTTTTCATATTTGCTTTAATGAAAAAAATGAAAAACTTCCCTCAGAATTGTTTAAATAAAAATTTCTGAAAGATATACCTACCATGTTAAAGCCATTTAATTTCTGTGTACTTAGAACATTATTTAAAAAATTTCTTTGTGCCCTCGCTGGTTTGGCTCTGGATAGAACATTGGCCTGTGGATTGAAAGGTCACGGGTTTGATTCCGGTCAAGGGCACATACCCTGGTTGCGGGCTTGATCCCTAGTAGGGGGCGTGCAGGAGGAAGGCGATGAATGAGTCTCTCATCATTTTTGTTTCTATCTCTCTCTCTCCCTTTCCCTTCCTCTATGAAATCAATAAACATATATTAATAAAGAAAAAGAAAAAAATCTGTTATGGAAAATACTACCCATTCCTTGAATGCTTTCTTCATTCTGACTTGACATCTGTTATTTTCTAAGAATCTTCTAAGTTATAACTTCAAGGGTTAAATACTAAGAAGGAACTAAGTACTTATCAGTATGAAGGAAAAGAAAGTGTGTTTAAAAATATTTAAAATGAGGGATATTTATATTCCATCCTACTGACTTTGCTCCTTTTTTAAGAGAATTAAATTTAGAGGTGATTATATCTGTACAAATATAGATTGAGCAGTATCTTCCCCCAATTCTTTAAATGCTTAAAGATTGCTGATGAAGAAGCGAAGAAAAGAACTAAACCTTTGTGTGTCAAGAAGCTGTATGTACTGTCAGCCTTATTGATAGAGCAGTACCACGAGCAGGTGAAAAACGCTCAGCGAGGAAAAGTTAAAGGAAAGAGTTCGGAGGTAAGTAGACCCTTATATAACTCATCCGAAGTGTTTAAAGAAAAAACAATCAAACTTCTCTTTTTGGACAGGCTGTTTAATTTGCCTATTTGCATTTATTTCCTTAAATGATATGAGGAAAGGAATGACTGATAGGGAATTAGTACTCAAATGTTAGAAATCTTTACTTGGAAATATTGAAAACTATTTTTACTATAAGACTAATCTACAGTCTGCTTTAATTCCTTACTTAGAAAATCCTTTCTAATCTGTGAGTCCTAAAAATTTTCTAGGTTATGTATATTATTTTAATATGCAAATGAACCTCTTATTAAAGTTGAATCAATACTGTTTTAAAATTTGATCCATCCTTTCACAATGTATATGTATAGCAAGTCACCACAATGTATACTTTAGCTATCTTATATTTATTTAAATTATACCTCGGTAAAGCTGAAGAAAATTTGATCGCACCAGTTTGCTAAAACATGAATTATAATGAAGAAATTAAGTCTGCAGTGACAGTTTTGTAGTGATAAATCTGCTAATTTAGAGATTGGAATGTAGCAACTTCAGAAGTTATCTTCTGGGCGGGGCCGTGGTTGAGGCTGTGCTGAGGGAATCCAGTGCTTCACTTGCAGGCCACTTCGGCGCTGGCTGGTTTGCTGGAGGAAGAGGTGCTGTCCACAACCAGTCGGCTCACAGATAACGCCTGGCGGGGCGCGGAGGCCTACCACTTCTTCATCCTGGCGCAGAGGCAGCTCTATGAGGGCTATGCGGACAGCGCACTGAAGACAGGTGGGCCTGGTCCCTAAGGGGCGGGGTCTAAAATTCTAAGCTGAATAGGAAGGGCCTTATAGTAATTTCAATAACACCTTTTTTCCGATGGATTTATTTTCATATGTTTGAGATTTGCTATCTATAATGTGTTTGTGCATTCCCCTTTTTGACATTCTTATTATTTTTTAATACATAGAAAGTAATATGTACGATTCACAGAAAAACAAGAAGTTTGAGATAAGCAAAAAAGAACATTTGTAGCATTAACTATTCTATTCAGCCAAAGAAAACACTTAATTGCCATGTCCTTTTGTATGTGTGTATATACATATTATATAAATATTTATATATTCATAATCTATCATCTATATAATAAAATATATTACATAAAATAAATATATTTAAGTAAGTAAATTTGTTTTTCTACAATATTGGGAGTATAGCAGATCATACTTTTGTGTACTTTTTAAAAACTAATATGTTGTAAAATATTTTTATAATAGTAGATAGATTTCTATAGCATTTAAATTTTTAAAATAAAAATGACACTTATATAACAATTTCAACTAAAACAAAAAAATTCAAAGAAAAAAGTAAAATTTTATAACTCACAAATAGTCATTTCCAACATTTGGGTGAACTTCCTTTTTGACATTTTTTAAAATATATTTTTTTATTGATTTCAGAGAGGAAGGGAAAAGGAGAGAGAGATAGAAAATCAATGATGAAAGAGAATCATTGATCAGCTGCCTCCTGGATGCCCCCACTGGGCATCGAGCCCGCAACCCAGGCATGTGCCCTTGACTGGAATTGAACCCAGGACCCTTCAGTCCACAGGCTGAGGCTCTATTCACTGAGCCAAACCAGCTAGGGCCCTTTTCAACATTTTTCCTTACCCCTAAAGTTGCTGTTTGTATACAGTTTTACTGAAAAAAAATATCAATACAATATATGTTGTTCAGGGGCTTGCTTTCTACCTTCAACAGTATATTGCAGTTATCTTTCCATGTTGGTGAAGAGGGCTGTGTGACTATTTTTAGTAGTTGTGTAACATGCCATTGTATTTATGTACTGTAATGTATATATTATTTACATGCAGTATGATATATTAATTTCAAAAGAGCATAGGTATGAGAATTTTCTTATAAACCAGGACACATGAATGACTGAACCATAGTGCTTTCAGATGGGCCACGACAGTACTGTAGAATGTCCCCTCCACCCGGCCTCCCTGTAGCATCTTGGTTGGGCCACTGTGAAGTCACCAGGCTGCTGCTCCTATCATCACCAGCACATCACACCCTCACAGATCATCAGTCTCTATTTCCAGGACCGGAGCTGCCAGCTGGCATTCCGGACCCTGGAGATCACTTAGTGTGCTTCTTCCGGCCAGTGCTCCGACCTCCCACCATTGTTTCCTTTCACTGTGCTGAAGCTCATGTCGGGTAAACTAAGACAGCGCAGCACAGATTCTTTCCCAGGCGCGATCAGAATTGCTTTGCAAAGTCCACATTGTTCTTTCTTCCCCAGCTCTTCACCTGCGAGACTATGAAGACATTATCCCCGCCGTGGAGATCTACTCTCTGCTGGCGCTCTGCGCTTGTGCCTGTGAAGCCTTTGGGACTTGTTCCAAAGCTTTTATTAAACTCGAATCGTTGGAGAGCCTCAGTCCCGAGCAGAAACAGCAATATGAAGACCTTGCCATCGAGATCTTCACCAAACATACGCCAAAAGACAATAGAAAATCGGAATTGGACAACCTTCTTAAAGGGTAAGGCTAGTTCTAATTAGTAAGTGTCATTCTCCCTTTTTAGAAGTTTGGATTTCTGTATGTATAATAGTGTGATATAGTAGTTAAGGCACTAAGTTTTGAAGCAGGTTACCTTAACATTATACCCTATATTATTTAGTCTTAGAAGTATATTAATGCTTTATTTTCTCATTGTAAGAAAAGTTTTTAAGTTTACCTTGAAATATTTTTTATTCTTGTTTTTAAATGTAATAAAGTTGTAAGTAATTAGAAGCTTTGAAGTGTAATGATTTGTTCTTCCTCTTATGTTCACAGAGGGAAAGGGAAACTGCCAACATGCGTTGCCACCGGCAGCCCCATCACCGAGTACCAGTTCTGGATGTGCAGTGTGTGCAAGCACTGCGTGCTGGCTCAGGAGATCAGTAACTACAACTTCTGTCCCTTATGCCACAGCTCAGTGGCATAAAGGAGCGACAAGTCGTGTGTAACTGTAAACATGGTAGCATATGTGCATAGCTATCACTGTGTACATAATAAGGTCGGCTTCCAGACACTTTATATGAAAATCAGCATCTTTATTTCATAGTTGTATTTTGACATAAAATTATATATAAATTACGCATATATATATATTATATACACATGTACATATTATGTATATAATTTTGTGTTAAACTATGACTATGAAATAATGATGCTGATTTTCATATGAAACGTATGGAAGTCAACCTTATTTCATGTCAATCTATCTATCTTGTGGTTGGTTACATGATACTGTGGAAATATTCTGAATAAGAAATTTTTTTCTCATAGTGTCAAGATTACTAAGTCACTGAAAAGTCTTGGCGAGGGCATAAAGGCAACATGAGAACGGGCAAAGTTGTACCAGAGGAGGTTAAACAATTTGCTTCCAGCCCCAAATCAGCTATTGACTCCTCACGCCTTTCCTAACACATCTGTTGGGAACTCTCTTTCGGGCCTTCTCATTTGCTACTAGTTCAACCATGCCTGAGTGCTAGAATCTTTCCTCCAGTTAATTATTTCAGATAGAGCCTGAGTGGCTGTCCCTACTTCCTGTTCAGTTTAATATAGAAACCAAAATCTCTAAATAACCTCTTGTAGACTTAATTATGTTGTTTGGGATTTATAGCTGTGAAAGGTTTAGTGATCGGCCATGTTTTGGGGACCTTGTTTGTCTTGAAAGTGGTAGGTACTAGAGGAAGGCCCACAGCATGAGTTGACCCAACTGGTTTTATTCAACATGAAGGATTTTTTCAGGATAACAACAACAAACTCTCCCATGGTGAAAGGGGCACAGGGAACAAAATTGTCTATATATGAAAAATACTTGGAGAGAAGTTGGATAGAGGTAGTATATTAAAGATAGTATAGGAAACAGTTATGTTCTGTTCTTGTAATAAGTCCCTTTAAGTAATGCTTTATCATATAACTTGGTCTGAACTATGTGAAGTTTTAAAGTCGCATGGTAAGCCAAAGTACTGAGATGACAGAACCTACTGATAAAGCTAAACAAGTAGGCACTGTGCCCAAAAGCAACATAGCATTGTTGACCCGCCAGCTGTCCTGCACAAATATGACTGTATTAGACATTTTTTCTAAAGTACACTTTGAAATTATATTTTTGTATTTCAGGGGCTGATATCTTTGGGTTTATGTGGCATTAAGTGAAATAATATGAAAATAATAAATATTAAAGTAAAAAAAAATGAGTTATCTTAAGTTTCCTTTATCTAGAACTTAGGGATAACATGGTATTTGTTAGTTTAAATATTTTCGTGGGGGTTGGTTAGGAGGCTGTTGGGCTGCAGAGTGGATAAGAGAAGAAAGGGTCTGGAGGCATAATGCATGTATAATATCGCTTTTGCTACCAAACAGGAGAAACTATGACCACTGCCACCTATTAGGGTACTAGGCAAATGTCAGGTGACTGGAGGTTAGAGCGCAGTACTCCTTGGAGGCCACACACTCCTTAGAAATGGGGGCGAGGGGAAAATTATGTTACTAGACTTTTAAGAGAAAATCAGGAGTATTTAATTTGATGATATAGCTCCAAGATATTACTACTGAGTTTCTAAAATGCAAATAGCAATATTATGCTGCCCCCTTCTGTGTATTCTTATTATTTTCTCAATTCATTTTAAAAATAATCACTATACTATTTAAAATTGACAAGTGCTGGTGAGGATATGGAGCAGTTGAAACCCTTATATGTTGCTGGTGGAAATGCAAAACAGTACACCAACTTCGGAAAAGTTGAGTTTTAGATGTGCTTCATATATATTATGGAAATACATGTTTACCTGTGTGTATATGTATGAATATGTGTGTGTTGTTTTTAAAAAATTATTTCATTTTTTGCTGCTCCAGTTAACAAAATGGAAGTTTTATTGAGGCCCCAGGGCCCGGGGGCTCAGGTAGGCGGCCACCCTGTAGGGAAGGAGGAGCCTGATTTGACTTTGTGGGGCACAGGTTGTTGGTGTGGCCACACTTCCTGTGGCAGTTGACAGCATGGGGCTGCAGCAAGCATACCACTGTCAGCAGATCATCTTGTTTTAGTTGTATCTCTGAGTGAGCTGGCAGAGGGAAGCCTTGATGATGCCACTCTGCAGGCCAAGTACCCATGTAGGTGGACTCTATGGAAGACGGGCATGAGTTGGAGGGATAGCCACTGAACCTGGCCCCAGCACCTGTCATAGGGCACGACCCTTTAGTGTCCTGTAGACCAGAGCTTCTCGTGTGATGGGGACGCCATGTCAGAATCCCGAGTGTGTTCTATGAGCAGGTGGACACGCCAGCCAGCCTGCCCCCCAGAATCTCCATCTCTGCATCCCCCACTCCTATCAGATACATGATTCGAGACATTTTCTCCCTTCTCGGGGTTGTCTTTTTACTCTGTTGATAGCCTTTTTATTGTACAAAAGTTTCTAATTTCCATGAAGTCCAATTTATTTTTCCTTTTGTTGTCTGTGCCACTGGTGTCACATCCGAGGTTTTTAGTCGTTTTCATCTAAGAATTTTGTATTTTCAGCTCCTATATTTAGGGCTTTAATTCATCTTGAGTTAATTTTTAAATATGGTGTTAGGTTAGGATCCAACTGCATTCTTTTGCATGCAGATACTCAGTTTTCCCAGCACCATTTATTGAGAAGACTGCTGTATGCCAGTGCCACCCTATTTTGATCACTGTAGTAGCTTTGTAGTAAGATTTTAAGTCAGGAAGCATGAGTCCTTCAACTTTGTTCTTTTTCAAGATTGTTTTGGCTACGTGGGATCCCCTGAAATTCCATATGGATTTAGAATGGATTTTTCTATTTCTGTAAAAGCATCTTTGGAGTTTTGAGGGATTCCAGTGAATCTGTGATGGCATATTTACTTGTAAAATATAGTTTTACAATCCATGAACACGGGAAGTCTTTCTATTTATGTCTTTACTTTCTGCAACGTTTCATTGTAGAAGTCTTTTACCTCCTTGGTTAATTCCTAAGTATTTTATTCTTTTTGATGTGATTGCACATGGAATTTTTTTTTAAATTTCCTCTGGATTGTTCATTTTACGTAATTTTTACTTGAATTAAACATACTTAAATTTCTATATGGGTTTCCTTTTGGCATAAAATGTCAAGGAATGTAAAGTAACATCATAGACCACAGACCGTCGACACGGAATTACTATTTCATTAATCTTTATACTATTCCCAAGGTTCAAAAGGGTTGGAAGTTTACAGTCTATGGTCTTGGAGCTAATAAACAGTTTGAATTGGGACGCTGGACCATGGGACAACTGAGTGGGATTCCACAGAGTCTCGGGGTTAAACAGAGGCTGCTCAGAACAGGGGTGTCGTGCTCGGGTAGACGCTGAAACCCGATAGGTGTTGCACTTCCCCATTCATAAAACAACCGAGGTCTCTTCCGCTTCCGGCATGCCCTGCCCCCACGCCCCCCCATTGTAACAAAGGGCAAGCTGCTCGCAGCATTGGGCCACGGGGTTGGGAGCCAGTTCGATCTATCACTTTCCTGGGGACCGAGGCCGGCAGGACTAACAGTAACGAAGGACCTGCCCTTCCCAGGGCCGGTCCCAGCTCTCCCGGCAGCCTGCGCGCTCCGCCCGCGAGGCGCTGTCACCCGGGCTAGCGCGGAGGGTAAACTCCGGGTCCGGAAGTGGCTTTGCGGTTCCGCCCCTGAAATCAGCCCTCTTTCCACCTCGAAGACCAGACCTCCGACCGCGATGTCAGGGCCGCAGGGGCAGGGAAGCCGCGCAACCCTAGGCCTCGCCCAGGCCCACTTCGAGAAGGGCGAGTATGCGGAGGCCGAGGCGCTGTACTCCGCTTACATTCGCCAGTGCGCCTGCGCAGCTTCCGCGGGAGCGCCGCCCGGGAGGTAACTATCGCGAGACGTGGGGCCGGCGGCGT